ACTGGAATGTGTAGGATGCAATAAATCAGCCCTCAGAGGACAATTCATTGCACTGACTTCCCACATCAGGAAAACAGAATGAATACAAAGAAAGAGCCTGATGCTACACCTCAAATATCTAGAAAGACAAGAGCAAGTGAAGCCCAAAGTCAAAAGGAGGGAGGAAATTATAAAAATCAGAGGAGAAATTAATGCAATAGAGACTAAGATCACAATCCAAAGAATCAATGAATGAAAAAGTTTGTTCTGTGAAAAAATAAATAAAATTGATAAGCACCTTAACTACCCTATTTTAAAAGGGGAAGAAAATGCTCAAATTAATGAAATAAGGAATGCAAATGACAAAATCACCACAGACTCTTGGGAAATTCAGAAGATTATCAACACCTATTTTAAAATAATTACTTTTATTGGTTTAATAACACAGAATAAATGGACAGATGCCTAGAAACATATGAATTACCAAAGCTCGATCAAGATGATGTAAAACTATTGAATATATATCTCTATTAAAGAAATTGAAAATTGACCTAATAATTCTCCTTACGTACAAAGAAAAGCCCAGGCCCAGATAGATTCACTGTGGAATTCTTCAAGATATACGAAAAAATTAATGCCAGCACTCCTCAAACACCTCAGTGAAATCGAAAGAAAATCAATTCTTCCTTAAAAATCCCTGGAAGTAATAATATTCTAGTTGCAAAACCTGAGAAAGACCCAACAAAAAAAGAGAACTACAGGCCAACCTCCCTAATGAAAACAGATACAAAAATCCTCAATAAAATATTGGCAAACAGGAAGCAGAAAATCATCAGGATGATACACCACAACCAAGAGCCATTCATCCCAGGCATGCAGGGATGTTTCACCATATGTAAATCAATCAATGACATCCACCATATCAATAAAACCAAAGGTAAGAATCACGTGAGCATTTCTATTGATGTAGAAGAAGCTTTCCATAACGTGCATCTTCCATTCATGAAAAGAACCTTACAGAAAATTGGAATAGATGATCTTTACCTCAATGTGATAAAGGTCATCTATGACGAACCAATAGCCAGCATCATATTAAATGGCAAAAAGATTAAGGCCTTTACCTTATAATAAGGCAAAAGACAAGGATGTCCCTCATCACTGTTCCTATTCAGAATTGTACTGGAAATACTAGCCAGAGCAATGAGATATTAGACAGAAAGTAAAGGGGTAAAGATAGGAAAGGAGGAAGTTAAATTATTATTATTTGCAGATGACATGATATTCTACATAGAAGACCCTCAAAATTCCATTGGAAGTCTCCTAGATACTATAAATTCAGCGAAGTAGCTGGATACGAAAAAATTAACAATCCAGAGCCCTCCCAGGCCTGAGAGTAGAAATAGAAAGCTAATATGCCCTTGCTGTGAGCTGGTGGATGTCATATGGGGAATGGTAGGGGAAACTAGCCAATGTGCCCATGTTGTGATTCTGTGGAAGTTATTCTGGTTCTCTGACGAAAAACAAGAAAGTAACTTACACTTCCTGTGAGCTAGCCATTGCATTGGCTGGGAGATGAGCACCACAGTCACCTCCTCCAACCACCAACAGTCTGACTGGTTTAGAGCACATGCTGAGTTGATAGCAATAGACGTATAAAAAACTTAATCCTTGTATTACTTGATTGGCTTTGCAGCCTAAGGCTAGTATTCTTAAGCATGTATTTATATTGGGAAATAATGGTAAAAGAAGTGCCAAAACTGTGTAACTATATGGAAATTAAATAACACTCTTCTAGACAACCAATGGGTGACAGATTAAATAAAGGAAGAAACTTAAAAATACCTACAACCTAACAAGAACATAGATGCAAAATCCTGTATCTTATGGGATTCAATGAAAGAAATCCAAACAGGGAAATTTATAGTAGTCAAATCTTACATCAGGGAATTGAAAGAAAACAAACAAGTAATGTTGCATTTCATTCTTCCAGAAGAAGAATGGCAAGACAAACACAAATCCCATACAAGGGAGGAAATTATAAGACCAGACCAGAAATTCATGCAATGCATAACAAGAAAACAATACAAATAATTAATGAATCAAAGAGGTGGTTCACTGAAAGAATAAGCAAAATTGATAAACCCTTGGACAACCATATCATAAAAGAAAAAAACAAAGACTGGAAACCATGCACTGAGGAATCAGAAGAATAAAATAATTACAGATCCTGTGAAAATTCAGAAGATCATCAATATCTACTTGAAAAGCTTATACTTTCATAGGTTAGAATATATAGAAATTCAGTGATTCCTAGAAATGTATGAAATGCGAAATCTGATCCAAGAAGATATAAAAATTATAGAAAATACAGTATCAGTAAATGAGAATGAAGATCTAATTAAAAATGTATCAGCTGCTGGGCATGGTGGTGCATTCCTGTTATCCCAGAACTTGGGAGGCTGAGGTACAAGGATTGTTGTGAGATTGAGAATAACAACACTACAAAGTGAGCTCAATGCCAACCTGAACTGAATAATGAGAGCCTAACTCATGAGCACAGTAAAAAAAAGAAAAACAATGACAACAGAAAAGCAAATGACCAACATAAAAAAGTCTAGGTCTTGATGGATTTACTGCTGAAATCTACAATAAATGTAGAAAAAAATTTAAGGCCACTGCTGTTTAATGACATTGAAAGAGAAGCTATTATCCCTAACTCATTCCTGGAGGCAAGTATTACCCTGATACTAACACCAGAGAAAGACCCAACCAGAAAAAGTAAACTATAGGACAGTTTATCTAATGAACAAGATGCAAAAATCCTTAACAATATACTAGCAAAGTGAATGTAGCAAATCGTCAAGAAGATTTTAAAACCTGATCAACTTGGATTCATCCTAGGAAGTCAGGGATGTTTCAATACATGCAAATCAACAAATTTAAATGTCTTATCAACACAGTCAAAAACAAAAGTCACATGGTAATCATCTCAATAAACGCACAATAAGCTTTTTATAAAATCAAGCACTGATTTGTGATAAAAACCCTACAGTAAATAACGACAGATGACATTTACCTCAAGCTGATAAAATCAAACAATGACATGGCTGGGGATTTAGCTCAGTGGCATAAGCAACTGCCTTGCAATTGTGTGGTTGTGAGTTGTATCACCAGTACTGATAAAAAAGAAAAAGGCAAAAAAATCAGACAATGACAAAGAAAATTCCAGCATCATACTAAGTAGAGAATAACAGAAAACTTTCATTTTACAGTTATCAAAAGAAAACGGATTACTATTATGACCACTTCCATTCAATATAGCTCTGGAAACATTAGGTAGACCAATTAGACAAAAGAGAGAAATAAGAATAAATATATAATAGAAAGTAATTAAACTATCATTATTCACAGATGATATGATATACTCAATAGAAGATACCAAAGACTCCACCAAAATAGTCCTAGAATTAATAACCAAATTCAATAATGTAGCGGGAGACCTAGTTGACATTCAAAAATCAATAGCATTGCTGTACACAATCAACACACTCACCAAGAGAGAAGTTAAAGAAACCACAGCCTTTACAGATAGCCTCCCAGAAAACAAAATACTTGGAAAGAGTCACGAGTGTCTAGTGCACTCAGGACCCCGGGAAGAGGCACACACACACTCACAAAATCAGGATATGGGGGATGCAGAGCAGAGAAAACAGCAATTGCAACTGCATGCTGTGCTTTATTTTTAGGCTCTTATATAGTGAACCAGGTCAGCTCACAGTGCACCGACGATTATCTTGAAATAGCATTCTTTGTGACAAGCTTTGTGACAAACTACAATGTTTATCTAAACTATCTAAGTGAAGCAAACAAGCATAACTGGTTCTTCTTGCCCCAATAACCCAGGAGGAACTCCATTAGCCCAAGAATGTTTTTAATTATGTTTGTTTTTTCTAGCCACCTGAAGGTTGGCCACTTCCTACTAGCTTTGTAAACACAGCCTAGTCACACATCATGAGAAAAGAGGGAACCTTTTCTCCTCTTGGGCAGGCTTTCCTACCCAGTCTCTGTTCCCATGCCGGGGCTGATGTTATCATAGACTATGAGGGGGCCAGACTCCTTAGGCAACACCACAGTTCTTCCTTTTTTTGTATTTAAAAACAATTTCCATAAGGTCAAATTATTTGTGGCATTTCATCTTATGCAACAACAATACACAAGGACTATAGCGATAAGGTTTAAGATTAGGCTAAGTCCCATGCCACTTAAAGTATGAGTCATACTTTGCCAAATTCCTTTTGGATACAGTCCTTCTAAAGACTGAGCAAGCAATTGAGCAAATTGAGCCAGGGATTCATCATCGTTATGCTTTGCAAAATCTTTGTCAATTTGATTATGCAAAGACTCTATTACCTCCTGGGCAGAAATATTCCCATTTAGATACATTTTAATTGTTTCCCATTCATGTTTTGTCTGATTATATGGTCACTGTGTTATACAAAAGGTAGTTGAATTCCAACCACATTTTAGAAACACTTGATGCTGAAGAGCCAATATTTTTCTTCCCATCCATTCAACTGTTTGTTTAAGAAGGTCTATTTGCTGCTGCAGTTTAGAATTTATTTGCTATTGGGTTAACCAAAGTTCATGAGAATTCTCATGCCATTGTTCTACAACATGTTTTTCTTGTAAAGAGGTTTGTAAAGCTATTCCTGATACTGCCGCTAAAGATGCCACAGTTATCAGGCTCAATAAGACAGTGACCACTATTCCAATAAATCTTTTTGTACGTTTTAACAGATGTTGAAAAAATTTAGTAGTAACAGAGATTACTGGGTCCTGAGACCATGGTCGAGTCAGATTTATAGGTAACCAAATATGAGTTTTTTGTTGTAAAAGCATAACTGTATAAGGCTTAGTGAAATTCAATGTGCTATTTAAACAGGTAAACAATTGACAATTTAAATAAGTACAAGAAAAATGTGTAAAATTAAAGTTCCCACTAAAAGGACATAAGGCAGAGGTGCACAAACAGTAATATTTTATATCATAAACTTAGTAAAATTATAAGTAGTAAATACAGATTGACTAGTTCCTGAATAGGAAACATTGTACAAGGTCACAGGTTGCATAGCGGCTGGAATCTTCCAAATGTGATTTTGAAGATTATGAGGGTACTCTTTGGCAGCAACAGCAGGATTGGTGATTCCACCATCTCCCCACCACAGGAGATGTGTCTTTTGAGGGAAGACGGGAGCTCCATTAGTTATGTTCTTCAGATCTGGAAGACTATATATGACAGAGAGATTACATCTTGTCTCATTCCATTCAGCACATCCATTAACAAATTTTCCAAATGGTCCCCAAATAATATATCCATCAATATTTTTAGCAAACTTCCCCATACATTGTTGCCAAATTATAGGATTATAAGAAATATTATTATAAGTGAAATCAGGGCATACAGGATATGTGTTTTTGTCAGGTGCTATTAAATTTTTCCAGGTAACATTAAAAGTTTGAGCAGCCAAAGCTTGAAGCCTTGTCCTTTTGCTGCCTGCTTTTATTCCATGTTGAATCTAATACTGCCATCACAGAGGGATGCAAGGTGGTTCCCCAATACAAATGGGCTTTAGATTGCCATAATAAGTAAAGTTGAACAATGTTCCATCATCCTGATTATGGGGGGTTAAATCGGCCCACGGTGCTGACAAAATTTTTTTTGGTGTTGTATATAGTAATATATCCATAGTTCCCCACACTACAGGTTCCAGTAAAGGGGGATTTGGAATATAAGCCCAATAAGAATGTTGGGGTACCTCAGTCCCCGATGCAATGGTGAGTAAGGCACATAAAGCTAAAAACAAATTTTCAGGGTTTAACGGCTTCCCTGCTTGAAGGACAAGCCATTGTCCCTCCAGAGTTAACTTTTTAAATTGTCCCCATGTAGGGATTGGATTTAAATTTGGTCGCCGTGAATGGCAGCGGGAATTTCTTAGCTGTGATCTGGCCATGGTGGCAATAGGGACAGGTTCATTATCTTCATCCTCTAGCTGGTTTCGAGCTCGCCTTGGAGGATATGGTTCCTCGGGGAGTTGCCTCCGGGATTGGCAAAGAGGGCCTCAAGGCACGGATCTTGATCCATCGTCCATGGACCCATTGTTGAATTCCATGTTCTGTGGAGATATAACCAAAACCTCTCCCCTTATAAAGCATTGTGCCCTTCTCCCATTCTGCCTCTGGGGCTGTTTTAGTCCAAAAAGGCTCATTAATCACATATGGTTGTTGCTGCTGTTCGAAATGTCTTTCAGACCTTGTTAATATTTCATCTTGTGGTAAATTGAGAAAATTTAAAATAAACACTACCTGATGCAGCAATATTTTTGGACTGTTTTGCAATTTAAACAGTATTGGTATCTGAATATCCTCCTGACTCCTCCTTTTTAATTTTTTAATTTGTAACTTAAGAGTGCCATGTGCCCTCTCAACAATAGCTTGACCCTGGGGATTATATTCAATCCCGGTGACATGAATAATATTATGGAGATCACAAAATTGGTTAAATGTTCTGCTAATATAAGCGGGTCCATTATCTGTTTTGATTTTAGAGGGAATTCCCATAACTGCAAAAGTCTCCAATAAATGTATAATAACATTTTTAGTGGATTCTCCCTGTTGGACAGTGGCCCATAGAAATAAAGAATAAGTATCAATACTTACATGCACATAAGAAAGCTGGCCAAAAGAGGGCACATGTGTAACATCCATTTGCCATAACTCATTGGGTTGAGTTCCTCTAGGATTAACACCAGAGGGAATGATTCTTAAATGTAACGGCCTACAAATAGGGCAGGCTTTTACAATTTGTTTAGCTTCTGTAAAGGGTATCTTATATTTAAAATGTAAATGTCCAGCATTAGCATGATTAAATTGATGTTCTTCTGTGGGTGTGGCAAACATAACTAAAGAATCTACTGCTCTATTACCTGATACTAATGGCCCAGGTAACTGAGAATGAGAACGTAAATGAGTAATGAAATAAGAATGGTTTCTTTTTGAATATGTGTTTGTAAATTTTGAAATAGAAATAGCAAATTAGGCTTATTGGAATACAACACTGCTGAATAAATATTTGCCACTACACCAACAGAATAAGCTGAATCAGCTATAATGTTAATGGGTTGATCAGGGAAATCCAAAAACACTTGCAATATAGCAAAAAGTTCATTTTGTTGTACAGAATTAAAATTTGTCTGACGTACCCAATAAGATTTCTGAGTCCAATAAGCACTTTTCTTTTTTGATTCGTCTGTAAAGATTGTTAAAGCATGAGGGATTGGCTGTGTAGCTAATAGAGTATTGACCACAAATTGTTGACATTTAAAGAAATCCCACAATTTACTTTTGGGAAAATGATATGAAAAAGTTCCCATATAATCTGCCAAGGCAATCTGTAAAGTCTCAGTTATTGAAATTAGATATTCCCATTGTTCCTTAGTTAAAGGGATGATAATATTATCTAAATCTTGTCCTATCAAAGTTATGGAGCGAGCTCTACCATTCATGATTAAGGAGGCAATGATATCTACATAAGGCATAACATTTTTATGTTGTTTAGTTCTAGCAAAAACCCATTCAACTGGCATAGCATTCTGACCCAAAACTGCAGAGGGATATTGAAAAGTATTAATAATATATAAAGTTAGAGGCAATTGAGGATCAATCCTAATTAAAAAGGCATCCTTAATTCATTGTTCTACAAATTGTAATTCCTGTTCTGCTTCTGTTGTTAATGTGCGAGGGCTAGATGGGTCTGAAGAGCCCTGTAAAGTAGCAAACAAATGCTGTAATGTATGAGTAGGAATACCTAATATGGGACGGAGCCAATTAATGTCCCCTAGTAAACGTTGAAAATCATTTAAAGTAGATAATTTATCTCTTTGAATGGTCAGGGTAAAGGGCCAAACTCACATGCAAATCTCTCTGTACACAACCAGGTTACTTTAAACAAATGTAAATTAATTGTCATTTTAGTTTTTTTTTAAGCTCTTTAGTGGAGAATAGAGGCACATAGCAGTGATTAACAGCCCTTGTTAGCTTGTTTTAGCACAGCTTTTGTAGTTTGTAGAGGACAACAATGGTAAACATATCAATTAGTTGAGATTTTTGTAATTCTTTACAGAGGAGAGTGTTGTTCGACATATCAATTAGGTCACTTAACATATCAGTTAGGGAAAAAGGGGTAAAACAAACACATTTAGTAAGCCACTTTACAGGTTTGTTATAATACACATATAATGAAGCTATTTTCTTAAAGTACAACATTTTCCATTCATGAGGAGCAAAATTTCTATAATGATCTGACACCGCTAATAACATCTATCTAGTATAATGAGCTTGAGGGCCATAGAGTGTCATGGCCTTTTTTAATTTTACTAAATCATCTATATTAAATCCTTCAAATCCAGGGGGAAGTGCCACTCCATCCGCAAATTGTGGCCTAATAATAGGGAAAGCAAAGACAGAATTTAACGATATACCATACATAGAGAGTGAATGCTTAAGAATTTTTAAGAAAGGCGAAGAAGGAGATTGTCCCATTTCCCCGTAACAAAAATATACACTCACCTCTCCTAAGCGACTGTCGGGGTCCCTGTTTCGGGCGTTACTTGTTGTGAGTGTCTAGTGCACTCGGGACCCTGGGAAGAGGCACACACACACTCACGAAATCAGGACACGGGGGATGCAGAGCAGAGAAAACAGCAATTGCAACTGCATGCTGTGCTTTATTTTTAGGCTTTTATATAGTGAACCGGGTCAGCTCACAGTGCACTGACGATTATCTTGAAATAGCATTCTTTGTGACAAGCTTTGTGACAAACTACAATGTTTATCTAAACTATCTAAGTGAAGCAAACAAGCATAACCGGTTCTTCTTGCCCCAATAACCCAGGAGGAACTCCATTAGCCCAAGAATGTTTTTAATTATGTTTGTTTTTTCTAGCCACCTGAAGGTTGGCCACTTCCTACTAGCTTTGTAAACACAGCCTAGTCACACATCATGAGAAAAGAGGGAACCTTTTCTCCTCTTGGGCAGGCTTTCCTACCCAGTCTCTGTTCCCATGCCGGGGCTGATGTTATCATAGACTATGAGGGGGCCAGACTCCTTAGGCAACACCACAGGAAAGAACCTAACGAAGAAAGTTTAAGGACTTACATATTGAAAATTATAGTACTTTGGAAAAGGATATTGAAGAGGTTATCATAAATAGAAAAGTATTCCTTGCCCATTCTGGGAATTGTCTTTTCACTCTGTTAGTGAATTCTTTTGATGTAGAAATATTTGTTAATATGACGGGGTCCCAGTGGTTGATTCTTTAAAATTTGTATTTTGCTCATTAGTGTTTCTGTTTTAATATTTAGATCTTTAATCTAGTTTGACTTTTGTTTGTTTCATAGTGGTAAACATATCTCCAGTTTAAGTCTTCAGTATGAGAAAAGTCATTTTCTTCAGCACCATTTATTGAAGAGGCTATCTCTCTTCCAGTGAACATGTTTGGCCCCTTTGTCAAACACACAGTAGCAGAGTGTATCTGTAGTTCTATTTGCATCTTCTAGTCTTTTTTGGTAGATTCTTAGGTCTTTTTTTCCACCAGAACTATGCTGATTTTCTAATAGTAGCTTTCTAGTATAATAGCAAGTCAAGAATTGTGATGCTTCCTGACTTGCCTTTGTTGCCCAGCAATGTCTTTGGCGATCTAGAGCACTTCTGTTTCCAGATGAATTTTAGAAATGTTCTCTCTACATTTGTGAGCTATCCTAGTGGTATTTTGGTGGGCAATGCATTACATCTATATCACAGTTTGCAATAAGATTTTTTGAGTTTTCTCCATATCCTTGAAGATAGTTTTACTGGTCCCTTATACTCACCAGATGAAACATAACAGGTATGATCTTAAGAGTTTCAAACTTTTGAGTTATTCTTCTCAAGGATATCCACAATAATAGGATATTTTTTTCTGTTTGTTTGAGACAGGATTTCCCGATGCAGTTCAGGCTGACTGTGGACTCACTTCCTAGTCCAATCAATTCTAATTGATTATCCTTCCTCAGCTTCCCAAGTTCTGGGATTACAGGTATGCACATAAAACTTGAAAGAATCCCTGGTGTTATTTGAAACCAGAAGAAACAGTCATAAGATACACATGTATTCATTAACTGCCATTCCCTTAAAGGAAAATTGTTCAATATAACACATAACATCATTGGAGTGTAGGGAATCAGAAGATGTGTTTCTATCTCTTATGAGCCCAGGATACCAGGATAGACTACTGCAGAAAAAGGAGATGTCACAAGTAGGAATATGAATCAAATGTGAGCATTAGTATTAAGAATTCAGAGAGTATTGTATTTAAGGATGATGAGAAATAGACCAGTGGAAAGCAATGAGAGTCCTGGTGAGCTTCGCTTGTCCCGACTATAGATCACACTTTACTATAAGGATGAACATCATAAACAGTGAAATATTCAAACATTATGTGCTTTTGACCCTAGAAAATACTGAGACTTGGCACTGTAGCTCAGCTGTATTGTAGCCTGGCATAACAGATGCCATCTTGCACCCTGCATTTATCTAGTGCCCTGTATTTGATCCAGGAAAATGAAAAATCACTCAGGGTATAAGTTCCATGAGAAAAGCAAAAGGAGCTGTACCCAAGTAAAAAAGTAACCTGCTAAAAAAAGAAGCAGGATACAGGTGTCAACCAAAAATTAATTTAAGATTCTAGCTAAATTGTTTCCAATGGGATGTCTTCTGTGATTCTCTCTTTGCAAAATGCCTAACTTCCCAGTTCAGAGCCAATTGTTTAGATTCTGAAATGCAGAAGGAGGTTTGTATAAAAGCGGTTTTGAGCTCAAATATTTAAATTCCAAATTTATTCTCTGGTTGCTTGGATTCCTATACTGTTGTTTACAAACTCACCTCAAGAAGCAGAAAGATTACTGACAGAAGCAAACCTCTGGATTAAATGTCAGTGCCCCTGAAATGAAAGAATAATGTTGAAAAGGAGGGAAGAAAATGACCAACACCATGTGTTATGATGCCTACCTCTATTCCACAGCATTAAAGAGGCTGAAACAGGAGAATGGCCATGTATTCAAGGACAGTCTAACCTACGCAGTGAGTGAAAGGCCAGCCAGAACTACAAATTGAGACTACATCTTTAAAAACAACAAAAAAAAATTAAAAAATCAAGGGAGAGAGAAAGAGTACTAAAGGAAAACAAAAATAATAGAGCTGAATGAAAGCTGACCTAAATTGACAATTATGGAATGATGTTGCAGCAGACAGCTGGCCATGTAGTGGCATCCTGGTAGCTGTGACAAATACAAAGTTAGGAATGGTACCTATTGTGCTATAGCACAACAGTGACCTTCTTCCTCCAATAAATCTGCAATTTGTTAGAATGAAGAGGTCCAAAAACTCATCGAAATCTTAAACTCAGAGCAAGCACGTAGCTTCATGCAAAGGCTTTCGAACATTGCTTTGACCACTAAGCTCAAAACCCAGCCCAACATCTTCAGATTCTATATATGACTATTACCAATGTTTAATTTACCATTGACATATTTAATTAAAGCTCTTGTTGATCTACATCTTTACAAATGAAGCTATTTTCTTTTTCTGCAGTTTAAAACACTGGTTTTTTTTTTAGGTACAGGGGATGAAACTCACAACTTAGCACTTCCCAGGCAGGTGCTTCTGCCTGCTGAGCTAAACCCCTGGCCTCTATTGAATAATATTTTATTAAATGTATAAGCATCACATTATCCAGTCAAATGGTATTGTGATTTTACTACAGGAGGTCAAAGTAGAGAAAAATTGATATACAGTCAGAGAGAAATTGGAACCTCAAAGGAGTCAACATAAAAAACTAAACACAACAATCCCTCTACAGGCTCAGCTGAAGAAAGCCAGACATAAAGGTGAAGATGCAGTGACCATGTCTACATGCCTCCTGAAGAGAAAAACAATAGCTTGAAATGTACTACAGTTACCACTACTTCCTCCAGGAAGTCCAAATAGGCATCAATTACCATACTCAATGACCAGAACAACTGGACTATTGTTCCCCCAAAATGCCTTTGCTCTTTCAACATACTTTTTCTGGGTGACTTCTTCCCAGGTTAAGTAATATTAATTAAGCCACTCACTACAAGCTTATAGGTTGATTGTAGTTTGGGACTCACACTGTAGCCACATTGTGACTTTGCTGCATAAATGATCCCTGACAATAGGTCTGGGACTTAAACACTGAAGAGCACTCCTGAAAATCCAGGGCTATTCTTCTCTCTTTTTTCCCAAAAAATTTTTGAACTTCTTTTGGTTTGTGACTTCATTCCTTAATGTTGTGAGCCAACAAACTTGGTGCATTTGACATCAAACAGGGCAAGATTATATTTGTCCTATTTCCATTTGAATATCAAACATCTGCTAAATGTTCCAAAACCTTTGCATTAATCTACTTGCTTGATCTGCATTTTTAAAGACATATTTTGTCTTGAGGCCTGGCCCATAACAAGAGGTATCTGTCTCACCCATAGCTGCAAGGTGTCTGGGATTCTGTCTCCCTGGCTATATATTTCTAACTAACTCAGCTGCCTGTAACAACAGGGCTGGGCCCTCAAAGGAGCCAGAAAATAAGTTCAGATTGTTTGTAGCATTGGAAGAGACAATCACCTACTGCTGTGGGCCAAAAATCAAAAGAAAAGGCAAGGAAATGCAACCAAGTGCTAAGAACCAGCAGTCTAAATAGTTCTCTGATCACCCTGAGGAACATCAAGAGTCACCATCCCAACCCCCTACAGGAAGTGTCCCTGCTCTTAAAAAGGCCCACTTAGTATGTGACTTGCTCTCTCATTTGCTCCCAATTTAATCAATTTTACCTGAGTAATTAACCATATTGGTTGACCACAGTCTTATCCCACCTTATGCTAATCTTGAAAATTCCTATTTTTCCCCTCCTGTGACCCATCTGACCTCATGGTTTAACTCTGTACAAGCTCCTCAGAAAGACAGAGTCTTTGGCAACCCACTCAGGACCCTTTCTGTCTCTCAGAATCTTTCCTTCTCCTAATAAATATGTTCCATTCTTAGACTCAATCATTCCTAAAATTCATTGTTTAAATTTAGAGAACACAAACTCATACCAGACATATAGTAGGTAAGGAGTTTCATTACCCTATACCATTAACATGAGCCAAATTAACATGACTATACTATATAAGGTCTGAAATTTCCTCCTTCTCCTGCAGTTTTAAGTGATTAATGCAAATCACAGTGATTGTAGTCCTGGCAATATCTAAAATTGTATACATCAGTCATTATAAATGTAAAATAATTGGTTTGAGTGTATTATTTAGCAAGATCTAGACATTGCCATTACAGTAGGTTATATCTTATTTAAGAGAAGATTCACCTATAATTGTTCAGAAAAGTTTCTACATTATTGGCTGATTGAACAATTTTTCATTAGAAAAACTGTATTTTTGTCAATTTCTAGAAGGCTCCTATTATATTATTGAAAGCTGTCTGTAGGTCTCTAGGACCTTGGTTGTATTTTGATGCATGTTTGTGTTTTGAAATTTATATGAAGATTTATTTTTATCTTAGGATTAAACTTACTGCATTGACACTGATAGAGGGAAGCAACAGCCCACTTCATTAATTTCCATTGGGTCCTCGTGGCATTTAACAAGTGAATTACTGAAGAGCTAAATTAGCTTCATACATACACAAGAATCAGTACTGTTACTGAAAGAGTTTTGGCTGAGACAGGACACTGTAGCCAGTGAGGCAGAACCAAGGAGCTCCTATCTCCCTCACCCCTAGGAATTTACCTGTGACTCCAACTTCCCTGCACCTAGGAATTTACCTATGGTGCCAAACAAAGACCAATGGACTACTTGTGCATCCCTAATGCCCCCTCAGGTTCCACTGTAAACCGAGGTTGCGTATATGCCCCCATGCCATGAGTCCATGAGAGAGAAAGCCAGACTTCAGTGGTCAGGGTGTTTTTGTTTTCTTTCTTTTCATTCTCAGAATAAAGGCCTCTTTTTTTTTATACTTCTCATCTTTTGGACGTACTATACAATCTTATCAGTTTAGGATTTTGTGG